TTACATTTATGTTCCTGCTTTTATGGCAGCTTCACATTTAAACCCATTTGTGTTAATATCTAGTCAATCTTCCTACTTTAAAAAAAAACTAAAATGGGAGAGATCATATACATTCTCCTTTGCTTAATATTTGTTCTAGACATCTGCTGTGATACAACAAATATCTATAAACTTTCAGAGATGTTGTGCAGAGGAGAGGGGTAAGCAACAATTTGGATAATATCCAAATGTATAAAATCCTATTTTCCCTACATAGTGTTTGTCTTAACATCCTACCAAGCACTTTGCGTTTACAACACTGTCTGGATTTTGTTTGTTTTTAAATAAATGGATGGATTTCTTGTTTGTGTGAGCTTTGGACAAAGTGAAACTCACTTGTAGTCTTCTTATTTTTAAAATAGCCTTTCCTTTAAGGGAAAATCTACAAATGCTTGCCAGATTCTTCAGTGTTCATGTAAATATCATGTAATTGTTAAATAATAAAATTGAGGCTGAGGCTACCTTTATCTATCTATATCTGTATGCTCTTGTTTCACAGAACTGTTCACAGTATTGTCCTAAAATATAATTTCTGAAACTATTTCCATCACTGCAAGAACCTAACTTCTGCTGGTATCTATGAAGGGCTAACCCCAGACACCCCCAGGGAACCATTCGACTCCCTATTCTTCCCTGATTTTCATAAAATATTTGCAGCCTATCCGGTTATCTGCTTGCTATAAAACCTTTAACTTACTTACGCTTAGTTTGACAATAGTCTGTGCGTCTTCCTGTCCATGTTGAGTACTGAGATCTCAGGTGCTCACAGTGAGGACAAAGGTGTGCTAGTAAGGATCCCAAGCACAACAGAGACCTCTCACTTCCATCGATACTCCTCCTGACTTCTTTTTTTCCACGCTGTTTGTTTTATTTTTGGGATACCTCAGTGTAAACTCTCTGCTTTCCTCTGCCCCACCTCATGAGTAGAAAATAATGTTAGCACTTTGATAATTCCAGAAGAGGACAGTCCATGGACTCTTGGACAAAACTTGTGTCCCTGTCCTCCTAAAAGATTAATAGTAGGATCTAGAAATCTTGCCAGGTTCTATATGGTAAAGTTTATTTGGGAACAGAATTTGAAGAAGTTCTATGCTATTAGCCAAATTTGAAAATCTTGTTCATTATCTTCATTGATATTTACCTTTAGTTTTGTCAAAATCTTTTACAATACCCCTCTCAGTAAGATTAAATTAAAAAATTTCAGATAAAAACACTATTCATTAAGTCTCAATAAATGTCTACTCAGTTAACATCAGAGCCTTTACTAAGCAAGTAAGATCACTATTAAGGTCCTGGTCACAGTTGGAATTAGAAATCAGATGGAAATCGTACCATTGTTAATCATACTTAAAGGGATCACTTGCATATTTAAATTACTTACATATTTAAAGTGCTTCTTTTTATACAACATACATATCTTAATATTATTGATCAAATGTTATACTGTGTCATAATATGTGCTTTCAAATTCTGATTAGCTTTTTGAAAGTATAGCCAGGTCATTTGAGTACTTATAGTCACTTGGATCAGATCCTTGCTGTTTTTTTCTATACCACCAAGTAATTTTAAGAAATGAATCCCTACAGATGAGAAGGACTGGAAAACTCTACTTCTGTATAGGGATTTCCCTTCAAGCCCAGTGACCTCATCTTTGGCAAGGTGGTGAAAAACATAGGCATGCAACTATGCATGGCCGAGTCTGGAATATCCAAGGAATCCCAGGTGGCCGAAGATGTCACCACACTGGTTAGAGGAAAGCAGGGAATGCAGGTGTAGCTCTTTGTACATCAGAGTCTTTCAGAAAGGACCATGAGCAGCACATGAGAAGGTAATGTCTGAATCTTCATTAGAGGTCACCTGTAAGAGCCTAAATAGAGTCACAGAATTATAATAATGGAAGCAATGAGAAATCATTAACTCAGCATTGTTTTTAAGCACAAGAGGCTCGTGTCCAGGAAATTGAACTTATACTACCTAAGCTTCCTGACTCTTGCTTTGTTGAGTAGCATGGTAGAACTAGTTGTGTGTATTTAAGTCTGGCTTATATATCTTAGTCACTTAATCTTATTAGCCTCCGTTTGCTCTTCAGTGAAACAAAGTAAACTCAACCTACCTCAGCAGTTTGGGGAAGGCTGAATAAGATAGTGTACGGGGAAGAAATCTTCTGTTTTGGCCACTGCCTAGTAGGCCTTCAGGAAAGATGAATTTCCATTTTCTCAGGCTCCTTTCTCACAAGAGACCTCAAGTAGAGTGTTTGAGAGCTGAGCCTTGGCCGCAGTTGAGCTGAGCAGTACACTGATGCTAGCTCCCCGAGCTCTAGCAAAAAAATCAGATTCAACTAAAAAGACTATTTTTATTTATCTCAAGATCACCCTCCAAAGTAACCAACTGAATTCTGTGCCCCTATGTGCCTGTCTTACTTCATCCCTCCTCAGACAGCCTGTCGAGGAAACCTAACAGCCACAAGACTCGGTGACAGAGGGAGATGTGGCTCTCAGAGAACAGTGTCCTCACTTCTTTACATCCCTCTTTCCACCTCCAAGTCCCCCCATTCCTTCCACTTCTCCTTTATAGAAAATTGTGGGTATGGATATCAGTTCTCATTTACTCTTTCGTGTTTAATTTACATCTAAAGCTAATTAATTGGGTTATCTAGAGCTTCTCTTTTGTAGCCTCTCCACCCTCTTTTTTCCTAGAATTACTTAGTTTCCTCACAATTTCTTGTATTCACAGTTACATAATCACATAACCCAGAAGAAGTATGTATCTATACTTTATGAATAGATGGATACTGGAGGAAAAAAAAACTTGCATACAACTTTCCAGGGATATAGGGCTATACTTTGCAGGCAGAAATATAGTTGACAGAGGAAACAACACACATATAAGTCAGTGGTCTATTCTTGTTTTAGAAAATGAGGGTCATGGGTATTTGAAGGAAGGCGTTTCTGGAAAGAGGTGCTGCAGGAGAGGGATGAATAATTATGCCTGTTTTTTGTAGGAGGTAAGAAAAAATTGTCAACTGAAAATAAAGACAGAGCAGTGAACTTCAGCCCTGAGGGTTTGTACAAAGTTAAAAAGGAGGTTGGACATTCTTTTTAAAATAACTTCTGTTGTATATTTATCAGTAAAAAAACACTCTTTGATAAGAGAAATCTTAGAAAATGTCAATATGCAAAAAGAAATAAATAAAGCAAAAGAAATTGAGAAAAGAAACCATCCTTCACCCTTCATCTTACCCCTCAGAGATAATGTAAATGTTTGCTGATGTTTTCCAATGTATCCACTTTTCCTAAACACCTGTCCATGTAATGAAATATCTTCTGTAATATCAAATGCATGGTTTTGTAGTCTCTTATTACATAAAAGTTTCATAATATAAGCTTATAAAGGACTCTGCACTACCCATTGTCCTCTCTGTAGGTATCTTCACTGGAATGCTCTCCAGCGAGGCACAGCAAAAATTCAGACCAGCTCTAACTTTACTAAATTTTTGTATGGATTGATTACTAATGGTCCACCACTGCTGGTTGTCTTTCTTTCAGGATATTGCTGTTGTTTGTGTGTGGATTCTATAATACTAATTTTAATAACAAATTCACTGCAAGTAGAAATTATATGTAATAATCATGGCTACAGCTCCAAGCAACATTACTAGCCAGGGAAACATCTTTGATTTAGCCTGATATGACTTGCAAAGGTCAGTTTGATCAGTCATGATAATATTATAAAGTTGCAACTAATTATTTTTGCAGGAAAAGGAAGCTAGATTTAAATAATACAAAGAGTGATTTTATTTCAACTGACTATTAGATATTTTAGAAATATTCTCACTAGAGCAACTTATAGCATTAGCTGAGTTTATTGAGCACTAACTCTGTAACACATTGAACTCACATGCACTTATTTCATACATGGTTCTTTGAATAGTTGCTATAGTGCTATTAAGAATTAAAAAGCCTCTGGCTAAGCACAGTGTAGTGAAGCCAGCATGAGAACTGGCTGTCACCTTGAAGCCTGCCTTCACTCTTAATTACTGTATACTTGGAGTGCCACTAAGTCTTTTTGTAGCTAAATCCAGTGATGTAACTACAGTACCATCAAAGAGTATTTACACTGAAGAATATCGTGAGCATTTGCACAAGGCAAAAGTAAAATCCACAACACAGAACTATAAAGCACTCTAGCTCACATTTTAGCAATCAAATGACTTAAGCCTGATTTAGATTTTTACTTTGAGGAGGTACATTTTGACTGTATTATGTAGTGTAATTCAAAAAGACAAACTACACTCTAATTATTCAAAATTAAATGCATACAAATGCTCTTCTCAAACTCTGAGAAGTTTAAAGACCCGTAATATTTGGACCTGAAAATTGTAAAAGATTCATTTTTTTTCAGTATTCTTAAATTCTTCCTCAGAATAAAGAAAGTGCCATCCCTTTGGAGAGCACTGCAGGATAATGCTTGAGAGCATGAGCCCCAAAGGCTTCCTGGATCTACCACCCACTCTTCATGCAGTCTTGAGCAAAATTCTTAACCTCACTAGACCTCGGCTTTCTCTTCTGTAAGACGGAATCATAACAATCCCATTCCTTAGACTTTCATGAGTTAAATGTGAAATGTATATAAAACAGTGCAATGCCTCCGATACATGGAGTTTAATAAACATTCACCAATATGCTTACTAATAATTAGCTTTCAGTGTCTCAAAACTGCACAATCCCACTTGATCTCTCCTAACTGAACTGCACCCCTCTTGCAGATTTCCATCCAGAATTAAGGCTAAATCTGTGGTCCAATTAGGTCCCTTTCCTAGCTTGGCGCCTTTCTGCTTTAGAAAATTTTCACTGTATTCCATGGTGTTTCCCCCTTTAATAGTAAAGCTAAGATATACACAAAATTTTTGAAAGCATGTTCTGGCCTGTGGTTTATACTTATGAACAGCTTTTATTTTTCAGGTCAGCTTCTGGAGGCTGCTGAGCATTATGAAGCATTCCATCAATTGACACAGGGGCGGATATGGAAGGATGAGACAGGCCGCTTTCTCAACTTGTTGGCCTGCGAAAGTCTCCTGAGGACTTACAGATTACTCTCAGACAAAATGCTGGAAAATAAAGAATACAAGCAGGCCATCAAAATTCTAATAAAAGCTTCGGAAATAGCCAAAGAAGGTGGGTGGAAAAGAACACTCTCGCATTGCTCTTTTTAATGGACAGACACTGCTTTTCCCAAGAGGAAAGTAAAAATTGTCAAGTGTTAGGGTGATTATTTCCTATGCAATGCAAAGATAAATGCCATCAATATACTTTTCAAATTTCACTGTGAAACAGAGGTGCCTTAGTGCTGACAAGAAGAAATCCATTAGTATCTTGAAAGCTTTATCTCCAAAATTATAATCCAATGGGGATATTGTTGTAAAACAAGGTATCTATGAGGAGATAAAGACATCTGCAAAAGTTGTCTGTGTGTGTGTGTGTGCGTGTGTGTGTGTGTTAGAGACTGTATATTTACTATCTAAGAGATCTTTCATTGTTTACAAATTCCCTATTGTTAGATAATTGGGAAAATATAAATATTTACTTAGGAGCAACAGAAAAATAGGCCAGGCCTGTAATATATTTTAGACCTCTGCCTTTCAAAATGTGGCCTTTAGAGCAAAACCATCAACACTGCCAGGAAACATGTTAGAAAATGTTAGGATCCTGGGTCCCACCCGACAGACTGTCAACATCAAAATCTGCAGGATAGCGAGATCTCTGGTTGAGTCATACCTATGCATGCAGCAGGAAAAGCACTTTGGTGAATACTGCTCACATTATTCTATATTATTTGTATATGTATAAAATATGAGGAAAAAATTTGGAGCATATTCTTATAAGCCTTTAATTTATGAAATGCAAAGATATTTTATTCCCATATTGTAGTTTATTAATAGCCTTTTCATGAAGAAGATAAGGAAGTTACCCACTTAAAGTTTAATTAGTGCACGAATGTCATTAATTGATTGGCTTATTAACCCAAGGCTTACTTTATTTTTTCTCATTGAGTTTATTGGTACATTTTAGGTATACAGTACAGTTACATTCATCATTGGGATCTTGTACCTTTACATGATAGATCTTGGTTCTCATTTTTTCCCCTTACCCCTGCCCTCCCTTCATCCCCTCCTCCCTTCCCCCATGGCTTACTTAAATTAAACAAGACATTTTTCTGGATGTGATTTGGATTTACTAAAAAGTAAAGTAAACAGTTTATTCTCTCTGTTATTTCTTTTAATAATATTAGTTGAAATATTCTTGGGAAGCCACCCTCTTTGAAAGATGTATCTTATTAAATGAACTGCTTTTTAATAAATGAAGATGCAGTACCTTCTCTGAAGAGGTAAACATTGATATAAATTGTTAACTCTTAGATCAATTTCAATAGCAAACAAGACACATAGAACATTACATGAAAATTTCAACCTAAATGAATGTATATTTGGAAAAGACATTTCAGTTTAGTTTCATGTTTGCAAGGAAATATTCATATTTCACAGAGAGAAGAAGATTACTTAGGTCTCTTCAAGCAACCAGAGGCTAACAAGTTGCCTTCTTTCAGAGAGCATTTTTCCCTTTCTAAAGGGAACAGGAGAGAATTGCTTCTTGTGCTTTAATAAGTGTTAATATCTTTCAAAACCTATAAATATTTAGCCCCACATTTTCCATATAAGAAAGAATGCAAATTAAAGTATTACTCAATACTTTATAGAGCTCTTACAGCAGATGAAATACTCTGAGGCAGAATATCCCTTCCTGCTGTCTCCTACTTTGGTCAGGGGTCTGAAATGGCAAAGGACGCCTCCCACACTGGTTTACATGATATTTAAGGGGTACTGGGACCCATTCTAGGCCCGTTGCTTTGCTAGAGCACCTTGATGAAATCTACACGTAGATCATCTGCTAAATATGCTTTCACTTAGTGTAATGCTTTCAATGTTCACTCATCTTCTATCATGTACCATGACTTTACTCCTTTTTAGGGGCAAATATTCCATTGTTTGGTTTTAGCACTTTTCTTAACCCATCACCAGTTATTGTCCATTTCAGTTTTCTTGACTTTCTGCTCTCTGATGAACAGTGCTGCAGTGAGGTTTCTTTTAAAGTTTTCAGTGCTTTTCAGTGTATATCCAGGAGTGAAATTGTTGGTTTAAATGATAACTCAGTGTTCAACTTATTGAGGAACTGCCAAGTTTATCAAAGAGGCAGCTCCATTTAACATTCCCTTAAGCAGTATGAGAATTTCAGTTTAGCCATGTCCTCTCGAGCCCTTATTACTTGCATCGTTTTGATTATAGTCATCTTAGTAGGTATAAAGCAGTCTTTCTCTATAGTTTTGATCTGCATTTCCCTATTGTCTCATGATGTTGAACATTTTTTCATGTGTTTATTGGCCATTTATGTATCTTCTGTGCAGAAATGTCTATACAGATTCTTTGCCCATTTTTATGTAGGTCATCCAATCGAATTGTTAGAATTCTTTATGCATTATAGATACAAGTTTTATCTATCAGATATATACTTTGCAAATATTTTCTGCAATTCTGTAAGTTTTCACTTTATAACCACATACATTGAAGCACAAGTTTTTAATTTTGACAAAGTCCTATATATCTATTTTTTGTGCATTCAATCTTAGAACTATGCAGACTGGGTAATCCAGGAGCTCAATTATTTTTCAGTCTTCCACCATTAAACCTGACAATAGTTTAGAGTATTTCTTGATTCCCATTAACAAGTTGAGGCAGTTGCCTTATATCGCTTCAAGTTTGCTGAGGAATTTCAGAGTTAAAGGTAGTTGGATTTTTTTTTTTAAATTGCATCTATTGAAATGATCATGTGTTTTATGTCCACCCTTCTATTACTATTGTATGATTTGCACATGTTGAACCAATCGTGCATTCTGGGATAAATCTCACTTGATTATGGTATATAATTCTTTTTATATGTTGCTGAATTTGTGTACAAAGGAAAAAGCTTCTCATAAGCATATATACGTTTACTCTAACATCTGGGAACCAGGTGAATTGTATTGTACCAGTCCTTCTTTTCAGAGCATATTTAGTTTTGTTGGATCATTAGTAAATTTACATACTGTAAAAAATAACATTGTACTGTCTTTAAGCTTCTGTTGTGAGAAGTCAGTTTCTTTAATGCTGTCCTAATAGTTCTATATCTTCTTTAGGAAATGACAAAAAGATGGAAGGAGAAGTTTCCTATTACTTAGGCTTAGCACACTTGGCTGCTGAAGAATATGAAACTGCATTAACAGTAAGTTGGAGTAAACTTTTAATCATTGCAATTTTTAATTATTACTTTATAATATTATACCACATGTGATTATAAAGTCAACAGAAATGGATTGGGCCTTACATCAGTGTGCCTATTTACAGAGACTAAACAAAATAGCAATATACTAGAAGCATAAAAGAAATTGATTCAATTGTTTATAGAAGGTAGAATACGGTCAATCTCCATGAACTGCCTTGGGATACATGAAAGTTGAATGAAAGGAGTAATATGACCCTCCGTACTCTGATATTACCAAGGATAAGATGAGATGGGTTTAAATGACAACACAAAGTAAGCACCTTGAAATTATTGCGATTTTGTAGTATGATTTGGAAAATTTTGCTTAAGGATGAATGTGGTGATTAAGCAATAGAGTGAACTGCACTGATGTAGATCTTCAGTGTTTGTGGGCAGGCAGTGGGGGCAGCAAAAGTAGAAGATGCTGCCAGGTCCAGCCTGAGAAGTACCCTGCATCATGATAAAACCCAAGCTTGCCTGTTTTGTGACCAGGCTTTGTCTGCTTGGTTGAAATTGAAACGAAATATCAGGAGTTATCTTTTCTGTATTATAACTGAAATGTTTTTTCTTTTCTTTGTCTCTTATCTCTAATATAGATAAAATAGCTTCCTATTTCAATTTCATGAGTATCTCTTGTAATAATTCTGTTTGATGGGCAGTGCTGGATTAATTTTTTAACTTTGAGGTTCTTATTTACTGCTTTAGACATTTATGCTACTAAGAACACTTATATTTGGACTAGATATTTTTCTCTTCTCCTCCATAACTGATCATCATAGAAAACTTTGCTTTCTGCAGATGACCCTCCTGTTTAATATATTTTTAATTAATACACATTCAACAAAGCTACTTTGGAGAATATAAGAGAACAAGAAAATGCACTTATCTTTTCTTTTGGACTGGGGATCAAACTCAGGACCTCGAGCTTTCCAGGCAGGTGCTATGCTACTGAACTACATCCCTAGCCCAATGCATACTTATCTTTAGGAGACAATTTAATGTGGGTGACTACCAGTTAATCTTGATTATCAGTTTGACTTAAGAGATCCCTGGAGAGGAGATTAGATTTTGAGTGCATTGTGAGATTTAGAATACTGATGAATTCATAGTTGAATGGGCTATTAGGAGGTGGAGCCTAGTTGAAGTAAGGGGGTCACAGGGCCATAACCATGGGATTCACTTTCTGGTCTCTTGCCCCTTGCTCTTGGAAGTCTCCTCTACTCTCTACTTCCTGGATGCCATTAGTTGAGCAGCTTTCCTCCACCGTGCCCTTCCACCATGAAGTTTCTGCTTTGGGGCCAGCGGACCATGAGTTAAAAATCTTTGAAATTATTGAGCTAAAATAAATTTCTCCTCCTTTAAGTTGTGAGAGAAAAGCTGATCAATATAGAAAGTTGGAACCTGAGAAGTGAGGTCATTGCTATGACTGTACATGATTGTCTGGTTTAGAAGCCTTTGGACCTGGCTCGAAATAGGAGTTTGAAAGAGTTTGGAGAAGCAGGGTAAAGAAAGCCTTGAATCTATAAATAGAGTGTGAATAATACATGATTCTGGTTAGGACTCAGAAGATCAGAATGCTGAATGCTGGTAAGAATGTGGAGAATAAAGCCAGACTCATGGAATTTTTGTTAGGAATAAATATTCTATTGGAAATTAGACTAGAGGCCACTAGTGTTACATTCTGGCAAAGAATTTGGTATATTTTGTTCATGCCCAACAACTTTGTGTGAGGCTAAGTTTAAATAATCTGATGAATTGATCTGGTAAGAGAAATTTCAAGGCAGTGCAACATTCAGGCTGTCATGGATACTGCTGGCTACTTTTAGCCAGATTTATAGTGAAAAGACTAAAAAAACAGAGAGGAAAAATTTATAAAACTTGCAGTTCAGTCAGAAAATAATCACATATAAATTGGAGCCAAAGAAATTGCAACTGCTGAAGAGATTAGTGCAATTAAAAAGAAACTAAGTACTTTTAGCTGGGATGAGAAGAAAGATGCCGTGAGAACAACTCAGGAGTCAGCAAGGTCCCAAACACTGCAGACACCAGGATGCAGAAGTGCAAATTTTTCATTTGAGAAGAGATTCCACAGCCCTTGTGTTCAAGAAGAGCCATGTAGGGAGTTGGTTCTGTGAGACTCATTTTGCCAAGATCAGTCATCTAGGCACTCAAAAGCCACTGTGGTCATGGTCCGGGTGGCCTGGCTCTTCCTTGAACTGGCAGCAGACCTTGACGTCATTAACGCAATGCTAGTTTTTCTGGCATGCAGAATGCAAGAGTCATGAGGTTATGGAAGCTTCCACACAGATTTCAGAGGAAGGCCTGAGAGTCCAGGTAATGTGTGACGGGGTCAGTGTCCTTGCTGGGAGAGACTGATTGTGAAGAGGTATTACCAAAGGTGCAGCAGAGACTTCAGAAAGCTGGAGATGTCAGGAATATGGAATATCTGTTGAGAAAATTTGCAACATGTGAGCAGACTCAGCTCACGAGAGAGGCAAGGTGGGCTGCAACCAGCAAAGCTATAGAAGTGGGTCTTCCCAAACCCCCTGGGATTCACATCTCGCCTAGGAGCTACAGGACTTAATGTTTGTCCTGTTAGGTTTTGGTCTTACTTTTTGGTCTGGCTCTTTTCTATTCCTCTCTTCTTCCCTTTTGGAATGGGAATGTTTATTCTGTGCCATTTTATCTGAGAATTATGTAATCTGTTTTTTTTTTTTTTTAATTTTACCAGGGTTTGAAGCTAAGAGTTTGCTCTGAGTCTCTTTGAACTTGGACTTTTGAGCAAGGCTGGGACTTCTGAGACTTTGGGGAAGACATCAGTGCATTTTTCTTCATACACAGGATAGTTCTATCATGTTAGGTGGAATTATGACCTGGTTATTTTGTTTCTATGTAGATTCAATATTGATAAAGGAAATGTGATTAAGCATCAAGTTGATAAGAGGTGGATTTGTGCCACTTAAACTTATCGTGAATTTGACTGAATTAAGAGTCTCCTACAGAAATGATTTGATTGTGAGGGCCTTAATGTCATTGATAGGTTAACACATTAATGAATTCATAGCTAAATTGGCTATTAGAAGATAGGGCCTAATTGGAGAAAGTGGGTCCTGGGGATGTTCCTTGGGGACAATATTTGGTCCCTGAGCTCTTCTTGGACTCTTCCTTGCTCTCTGCTTCCCAGGAGTCATGAACTGAGAAACTTCTTTATCCCATGCCCTTCGACCATGAAGTTTCTGCTTTGAAGCCCGCTGATCATGCACTGAGACCCCTGACACTGTAAATCAAATAAATCTTTCTGTCTTTAAATTGGCGTGACAGGTATTTTGTCCCAGCAACAGGAGAGCTGACTAATAGGGTAACAAATTTGTAAATATAACTGTAATTCAAAGTAGGTTGAACAAAAGGTTTCCTAGTGAAAGAGAAAGTGATCGGTCCCAAAACATCAGGGTGGCTAGACAGAAAAGCTTCTGAGGGGCAGGATTTCTGTAGGCAGAAAGCACAAGAGCCCAAGGTGAGAGAACACTGGACACACACACATACGTGTGCATGAACATACACTCAAGATGAACATGCTCAGTATATTTGGGAAACAATTTTCAGGTACAAATGAGATGCATTAAGAGGCCAAGCTGACAAATTAGAAGGAAACTAGTTTGTAGATTATTTCTATGACTCTCTTTTCTCTCTCGGTGTAGGCATGCATATGGCAAAATAAATTCAGACAATATGGCCTACAGTAAAAATAAATCTTTGTTTCATCTCTATATTCAGTCTCATGATTCTTTTTTCAAAGACAAATAGAGTTATAATTTCTGGCTTATTTTTCCAAAATATTCTGTGCATGTGTGATATATAGGTGCATATAAATAGGTATTCTTTTGTTATTCATAAAATAGTATATTTTATGCTACAAGTCTGCACCTTGAATTAATTTCATTCTTATTAATATAGACACATCTGACTTTGGCTTTTTTCCAGCTTTAGTGAGGTCTGACTGACTAATAAAGCTGTATCTATTTAAGATGCCAAATGTCATATTTTGATATATCTATATATTGTAAAGTGCTTGTCCCAATCAAGCTAATTGACCTATTATCACCTCACATATATAGCTTCTTTTTGTGAGAAGATTTAAAATCTACTCTCTTAGCAAATTTGAAGCATGTAATGCATCATTATTAATGTAACCATGCTTCATTTTAAAGGGATTAGTGATGGAGGTTCTAGTGTATCGTATATTTTAGTGGCAAAGGATAGTCTAGTAACAAATGGATTGAAGAAATTATATTTGACATTCAAGTGAAAAATTTCTTCAGTTACTCCTTTCAGAGAATATTGAAATTGTTTTTCTGGAAGTAAATGTGAGTTTCATGTCCACACCTTACTTACAGTGTGACCTTGGGTAAGTCCCTTAAATTCTCTAAGTCTTAATTGGCTCATATATCTTGTGGCACTAATAGTTACACTTTATAAAGTGTAGTGGGTTAAATGATAGCCTATAAATGCAGAGTAAATTAACTTAAAATGAAGTGACTATCCAGGATTGACTGGGTGGGCTCTAAATGCATTGACTGGAGATGCTTGATACAAAGCATCATCTCCCTCTCCCTCTCCCTCTCCTTCTCCCTGCAGTGACTCAGCCACTAATTAACAAATGTCTGGAGCTACCTAAGATAGAGGAAGCAAGCAAGAATCCTCTCACAGGACCATCAGAGAGAGCACAACCCTGCTTAATACCTCAATTTCAGATCTCTAGCCTTCAAAGCTATGAAAGAATCATTTTTCTGTTATTTAAAGTCATTTAGTTTGTTGCAATTTCAGTTCAGCTTGAGGGAACTAATACATACAGACTAGAAGACATAATTTATGTAAAGTTTTAGGACAGTGTCTGTCTGATACATACCAAATTTTCAATTATTCACTTTTTTATTATTGCACTAATTCAAGTCTCTAGACTT